AAAAGACCTCCTGCAGAACCGTTTTGATAGACCGGAGGAGACAACACGACGTACAATACTCGAGCTAAAACGAATGCTTCCAGCCTCAAAGAGTACAACAACAACAACGTTAGAAAACCTGTTGAGAATCCTAGGTCAGTTGGAAACCTTTAGCACAGATGTTCACAGCAAATTAATTCTCAGTTTCGTGAAGTCCAAACTATCCTTCCAAATGCTCACTAAAATTGGTCTCGAAAGGGACAAGGGAAGCACACTTTCAACACTGCGATGCCTTATACAGAATGCCTTAAACGGCTACACATATATCCAAACAGTGTTCAAATCTGAAAAGCCTTTACGGAGTAAGCCGAGTTACCAACCATCTAATACAAAAGGAGATCGGGAACTAAAATCAGCTTTCAACACTCAAGAAACAAAACCGTTGAAGCACAACATCGAAAAAAAAGCAATTCTTAGAAGCTCATTAAAACAGCCAGACAAGCGGTGCGCATTTTGCCAGGAAGACCACTTTAGCCAGCATTGCAAGAAGTACGACACAGCGCTACTGCGAAAAAAACAAATTAGCAAATTACGACTACGCAAAAACTGTCTCAGAAATAATTATAATACCGAGAACTGTAAAGTACCACAAAAACAGTGCTACTTTTGCAATGAATCGCACAACTCTGCCCTTTCTAAAGCCACTTTCCAGCGAAAGCCGAAACAGTTGACTGCGTTCAGCCTAGTACTCACAAATGGCCATCCGCAGCGGACGTCATTTTACTCGTGTGCGTATAAGCAAACGTAGTGAACCCAAAATAACCGCAACTCAAGCAAAACGTGGTATTACTTTTAGACAGCGGTAGTGAGCAAACATATGTCGACGAAGCCCTAGCCAAACATTTGGAAGTAGTTGACGGCGCTACCGAAAAATTACGCAATTAAGGCTCTTCTCTATGTCACAACCAGTCACTAGAAGTACAAAAGAAGTTGAAATAGGGATAAGGCTAAGGAATAACAAAATACTACAAGTTCAAGCCCGAACAGCCCCTAAAATGACAAATAACCTTCTGATGGCACGAATAACAGAACGAGAAGTACCCGAAATCATTAGTAGCAACTATTTCTCTAAAGAGTTGAAATGGGAAAAACCACTACTACTACTAGGCGCTGAATACTACAGTGACTTAGTCAAAGAGTCATACTAAACAAAATCCCGATTCTACTGCATCAACACAACTCCAGGTCCACTCATGCATGGAAAAGGAATAGTGACAAACATTCAATATCTCCGGAGATCAAAGGGGGAAATCGTTCAATGCATAGTCAACTTCAGAAAAGACATGGATGAATTCTGAAAAGTAGAAACGATTGGTATTAGGGACGACCCAACAGACACGGAAGATCAAGAAGTAACGAATCATTTTCGGGTAACGATAACTAGAAACCAAGGGCAGTACGGAATATAATGGCCTTGGAAAAATCCCATGCCGAGATTAGCGGAGAACTTCAGACTTTGTGTAGGACGGTTAAACTCATTGTGGCAAAAGCTACGCAAGGATCCAAAACTGCTCCGCGATTATGATAAAATTGTCCAAAATCAGCTGGAAGCGGGCATCACTGAAGTTGCGCAAAACAATCAATCCTCAGGACTGGTGCACTATTTACCACACCAGCCGGTAGTCACTCCAGGAAAAGTTAATACGAAGCTCCGTATAGTCTACGACGCCTCTGCCCACACGTCAGGAGCCAGTCTGAATGAAGCGCTCTTCAGAGGGCTCGTCACGCTCCCTGAGCTTTGTGGCATCTTATTGCGCTGGAGGACCAAAAATTACGCATTAGTGGCAGACTTGGAAAAGACCTTCCTGCAAGTCAAAATCAATAAGGAAGACCGGGACGTCACCAGATTTCTATGGCTCAGAAATATAGACCAAGACCCAGAAAGTAGCAATTTGATAACCCATAGATTTAGAAGACTGCCTTTTGGGATAATTTGCAGCCCTTTTTTGCTGGCAGCCGTCCTTAAAAAACATCTAGAAGACAACTACAATTCAG